ATTCTGCTTGCGTGGGATGCCAGTAGGTTGTGGCACGTCATTAGGCCGACAACTGTCCTGCAATCCCTACGTGACCGTGTAAGCAAGAAATGGGTGTTTCCTTTGCTGCTATTGCACATGATCTTGGTGGTTTTGCATGTCGCTAATGCGTTCCGTCTCCCCCTGATCCGGCACCCAGCTCTTTCGGAAATTTCATTGTAGATCGTTTTTAGCGACTTTTGTATTTCCCGTACTGGTTCGCTAGCAAGACGGATGGCACTTTTGGCAATCTCATCAGCTATTTCGTTGCCTAAAATGCCCTTGTGGCCTGGAACCCAGTATATATGCAGCCGTTTACTCTCGGCCGCCCTGTCTACTGCTTCCCTGCTTCTAAGGACATTTTCTGACGCAATACGATGTGAGATTATGGCCTTAATCGCCGCCTGGCTATCGACATATATATTGATATTTTTTATATAATTTCCTGCGTTGCTAGCTATCTCAGCAGCTTTCCCTACAGCGAAGACTTCCGCCTGGAAAATACTGCAGTACTCTGGAAGCTTGAAGGGTTGCCTGAGGTCTAGCTCGGCGCAATAGACTCCGGCGCCCACTCCATCAGCCATTTTTGATCCATCCGTGTAGATGTTATACGTTACGCCGGCGGGTCGCGTGCTCATGCGCCATCCGCCCTCCTTAACCGTAGCTTTAAACCTTCTTCCCCAGATGAAGCGTGGGGGTATGTAGTCTATTTTGTCCTCCATCCCCCTGCATATCGAGCTGTGCCCGAAGGTTCTTGCAGATAATTCACCTAAGGCCATCAATCTCGTGGCGGATTTCGCTGCAGTGCTCTCCACCGCGATGTCGATTGGTGGTAGGCCAAGTAGCCTTTCAAGTGCCGCCGTTGGAGTGGTCCTTAGCGCTCCTGTTAAGCACAGTGCAGCGAGCCGCTGTAATCGCTCCAATGGTTTTCTATACGAAATTTTGTTTGCAGCGGTCCACCATACCAGAGCACCGTAGAGCAATATCGGCTTAACTACCGTTGTGTAACACCAATGCATGAGGCCAGGGGATAGGCCCCATGTGGTACCCAGCATCTTTTTACATGCGTAAAGGGCACCACTGGCCTTTTTCACCCTTTCCTGCACATTTAGCTTCCACATCAGTTTGCTGTCCAAAATTACTCCCAGGTACTTGGTGTGATCCTTGATTGATAGCTCCGCCCCGTTGAGCCTCGGGGGTTTTCACGCGGGGATTTTGTACCTTCTTGTGAACAGTACCGCATCCGTTTTGTCAGCATTTACCTCTAAGTTGACTGTTGTCGCCCATCGATGTACGACCCTTAGAGCGCTTTCCATTACGTTACTGATGGTGTCTAGGAATTTCCCCGTAACAACTATAGCTATGTCGTCCGCATAGGCAATTAGTCTGGGTGCTTTCCCTTCGAATTTTCCCAGAAGCTCATTCGCTACGAGTAGCCACAGGAGTGGTGACAGAACACCACCCTGAGGAGTTCCTCTATGCGCTGGTCTGAGCAACCTGGCTTCGTACCACTCCGCCTTAATTTTCCTGCAGCTCAGCAGGCTTTTTATCCATAGTAGGATGGCAGACTCTACCTGGGCTGCTTCTAGGCTTTCCATTATTGCCTCATAGGAGACATTATTAAATGCCCCACTTATGTCCAGAAAGACCCCTAGGGCATATTCTTTATGCTCCAGAGCTTTTTCTATTACCGCGGTTAGTGAGTGAAGTGCAGTCTCAGTGGATCTACCCTTCGTGTAGGCATGCTGCGCCTTTGATATGCTGGCCGACGGCAGCTTATCCCTAATGTAGGCGTCCAGAATCTTTTCGAGCGTCTTTAGAAGTAATGAAGTTAGACTAATTGGTCTGTATTCTTTCGAATAGAGGGGGGTTTCCCTTGCCCGCCTTCGGTATGAATACGACCCTCGCCTCTCTCCAAAGGACAGGCACATAGTTTAGTCTGTGCCTGGGGACTTAAACGGCCCGAAGCCATCGATTGCCCACCGTATTTTTTCTTCCGTTATGATGTCCGGGGGGACATTTTCCACGCTATCTCCTAGAAGTTGCAGATCTATGCTGTCTGTACACCCCGGAAAGTGCGTGTTGACTAGGTCTTCCAGTGAGTCCTCACTGCTTCCAGTCCACTCTCCACATTTTTTACGTAGTAACCTTGGATTAGTCGGGTTCTTGGATAGCAATTTCCTTAGCCTGGCTACCTCGGTTGTTTTTTCTAATTCGCCGCAGAAGCTCTTCCACGACTCCCGCTTGCATTTACGAATCTCTTTCTTGTATTCCTTAAGTACTTCCTTGTATTCCATCCAGCAGAACTCGTCATCGGCTACCTTGGCCAGTTTGAAGAGTTCCCTAACATTTTTCCTGAGTGCTCCGAGCACTCTGTTCGACCAAGGTGGCTTTGAACCTCGCTTGGCATGTAGCGGAGGGCATGCGATGCGATAAGCTTTATTTAGAGTGTTGGTAAGTGAGACTACCAGTTTCTCCAATTCAGAGTGGGAGTCACCTACCCTATACTTGGTTAGATTCTTCCTCACTACCCTTTCATACAATTCCCAGTTTGTATTCCTGTGATTTCTGAAGGTTTCGCTTTTTGTACGGGCTGAGAATTTTACCTGAAATCCTACATACCTATGGTCAGAGAACGAGGGTGTACTAAGCACCTCCCAATTCTGTACTCCGATTACCCCACTAGTGTGGAGTGTTATGTCAAGGACGTTCTTCGAGGTAGGGCCAATATAAGTTGGTTCCTCACCCCGCTTAGCTATATCTAAATTACTTATTAATATAAAGTTTAGTAAAGACTCACCCCTTTCGTTGGTATCTCCACTCCCCCATACTGTGTTGTGCGCATTGGCATCCGCGCCTATGATGAGTGGGCGTTTCGCCTTCTCGGCCTCTCCCACCAACCTCCGGAGCTCGTTTGGTGGCGCCTCCTCGTCGTGAGGCATGTAACAAGATGCAAGGAGTATTGTGTCATCCTTGCCATCCTTCACAGCTACCACCGTCAGATCATCTGAAGAGAAATTAAGATCAATATAAGAGTGTATACTTTTCTTTACCAGTATAGCTGTTCTTACCCTGTTTGTTGCACTCGGGATGTGCGTATAGTAAGTTTGCGACTTTAGTCCAGCTACCACGTTTCCCGACGCTATCCATGGCTCCTGGACTAACGCCGCATCGTAGCCGATCCTCTCTAAATTGAGGAGGAGCTCGGCAGAGGCGACCTTGCTTTTATGCAGATTTATTTGAAGAACCTTCACTGCAAGGATCAGGATTCTTTTCGGGGTCGGGTAGAATCTCCGGATCGCCCTTCTCGGTCTCCTGGAGCTTCAAGGTGGCCTCCAGTATGTAGTTAACTTACATACATATGTTTCCACAGAATGCTATATATTCTGGAAATACTAGATATGTTGACTGTTTGACCTAGAAACGCACAGTTGAGTAGTTCCGCTCTGTTCAACAGTTGCCAACTTTGCGATATTTTTTCCATCGTACAATTTTTTCGCTACCTGTACTCAACGTGTTTTGCTCAGCCTAGACAGATGATCGAAAAGATTTACGCAGCTTATATTAAATGTACTATGCTCATAAATGGAGAGCCAGCCTTTAATAGAAATATTTGGGTGGTTCACAAGGTGTCGTATTGTCGTATGTTGTAAAGTTTTTAATGGCTAAATAAATGTTTAGAGGACTTGAAATCACCACCAACTATTTTTTAACGGTGTGAAATTTCATAATAAACTTTTATGTTAGCTTGCGAATTCCTTAAATATAGTTTTAGCCGTTTAAAGTTTATGACATACAAGAGTACGACAGTATACAACACCTTGTGAACTCCCTAGTTATGTCCTGATTATATAAAATAAAGCTAAAAAGTTCAAAATTAAATTATGGAAAAAAATATTTTTTTTAAAACAAGCTTTTATTTAACATGTACGATCAAAAGAATAAAATGACGTAGCTTAACAAAAGATTTTTTTAGCAAGAAAGTTTTGTAAAAACTGCACTAAAATTAATAAAATAAAAAAAAGTTAAGCCTTCGATACAGTTACTAAAAGCCAAATAGTGAAAGGAGTTACTCAAATTCTAATGAAAATTACTAACAAGCTTGTTTTAAAAAAATATTTTTTCCCATTATTTTATTTTTAAATCAAAAACACTTCCCTTAATTTTAGATGAGTGGACGGGTGGTCTAGTGCACCCTGTACAGTTAGAAAACAGATAAATCTAGATAGTTAACTAAATTTTTATTTAATTATTGAGGCATATTCTTGTTTTCGTACGAATCGAAAATTTAAATTTTTGTGTAGAAAATTATAGGAAAATTTCATGATTTTCGACTCGAACGAAAACAAGAGTACGCCCCATTATTTTTTTAATAACCATAAATATGTTTATTGCAGGCACAATTAATACGCATCGATATGTTCGATTGAACGACAATTCTACATACTGCACCATCAAGTGTTTTTTGAGCTCATTAACTCGTACAGCAGATCTCACAATCACATTTAAGGGTCCTAATAAAAATGTACAAAACTACAGACACTCAATAATATTTCTGTAACAATTCAACAGTATGGTTGAATTTGAAAAGTATTATATGTATACCATCGAAAGATATAAAACCGCAACACAAGTGCCATGGAAACCCCGAATACAATAAGGAGCTGCTCCTTTTCTGCTTTGCAACTGCTATATTTAGTACCACAGGCAATATAGAATCAGAAATTCAATCATCGATAATACAAAGTGGTACTGAACGAAGGAATGGAAAAATTTACTGATTATATTGTATCACTTTGTCAAAATTCTCTTGAGCTATGAACGTGGTTGCAAAAAAACGACGGTATTGATGTCTAGACTATTCTCACAGAAATCGCTCCAAACTAAACGACCTGTGTTGTGAATTAAGAACGCACGCTATAAAATAAACGTATGACATATGTGCATACATATAAGTATTCATGTACATACATATTCCTGTAGACAGAATACAAAGATGGGGACAAGGTTTTTATAAAACCAAAGGCTAGAGTTTACTGTTTCCTCAATGCCTGAGACCGTCCATACGTGGCGAAGAGTCACATCCTGCTCGAGGTGTCCCTGCTTCTACAGAATATGGCGGATCTAGAGAGGAAAACTCGATAAAACCCGTAATCCCAGGTGTTAGCCGGACCGTGCCTAGGGATGAATGGCACTACGTAAGTGTGTCTTCGAACGGAGGACTCCAGATACCTGGCGCCCTCTGGTTTAAACCAGCCTTTCCGTGGTACAATGGGGCTATGCCACGGATGACGTAATATCCCCTACACTCGTGGGAACAACAATGCCTAAAAAAAAACATTAATTATAAAAAAAATACACCAAACACTGGAAAAGGTCGCATAAAACACCATATACCTGCTGAAAAGCAATTATTCAAAGGAAACGGTTATGCCAGATACAAAAAACTAAAAGCTATGGGGATTAAGCGTGATGAAGCGGAGAGGTTGGCTCATGATGTGAGAGAATGTAATAAAATCTTTGGGAAAGTTAAACATGATCGAACCCAAGAAATCAAAGGTTTAGTTAAGGTCGAAGAAGGTACTGGCCCTAATCAAGTCGATGTAAATGGTATCTTTCAGTTTGAGCGCCAACGTGATATATTAAGACGAATTCTCGCACAAGGAGTTCCATTGGATGAGGCCATACCATTAGCCAGGGAAGCTGGTGAATCTCAAGAACCTTTCGATCGTGCATTAGCTAAACGATTTGTCCGCGAACAACTTTCAGACATTAGATCCTCCTCAGACGAAATAACAGTCACTGGAGGTGCACGAAAGCGTTTTAGAATATTAGTTTCAAAAGGCGTTCATATTGAAAAGGCTAGAATTGTTTGTCAGTGTCCGGTGAAAACCCGTCAACTTAGATTTGCTCTGAGTGGCACAATAATAGAACCTACACCTAAAGCCCCTAAACGACCAGTTCGAGCAGCTAATACCAAAAGCTCACCAGCAAATTTCCGATCATCTGGAACCGGCAATACATCAAATTCAAATATAGCATATGAGCAATCACAAAATGCATTGCGTGATAACAAAAGTCATCCTCAGCAGATCAACATAAATGAAACACAGTGTAAAAATACACGCCACATTGAACCACAAATCAGTACTTCAATACGTTACAGACAGGAAACCCCATTTTTGGGAACAATGATAGAACCGCACACGAACGATGACCCACTTAGAATAAAATTAGCTGTGATATCTCCGGATTTTCCCTTGACCATTTGGCCTACGGAAATGTTAAAAGGAATACAGCATTTTATTTCCAAAGCAGCTGACAATGAAGGAATCGACTTGACGTCTCTTTATGCTTCTTGTAGTTTTCGTCCCGGGTGGATCGCATACTCGATAACAGATATGAGAACTGCTCAATGGTTTAGAACGAGAGTTCCACATCTGCGACCATATGAAGCTTTTCTAGCAGTCGTCGATCAGGATGCAGTGCCACGATCGCAAATTTTTGTGGGGTACATTCCCGAACAGAGAAACTTATCTAATGACGATTTGTTGGAAGCCATCGGAATGAAAAAACAACGGTCTCCGCACACGGGACTGGAACGTAATTAATAGAACACAGAGAGGTTCAATACTGGAGCTTTTGGTTCTGATTGATCCCTTTTCCGTTAAGGCTCTTCAGGTGAACAATTATTCAATAAAATATGGACATTCAAGCGCTTGTTTAAAGCCTAGACAATCTTTAGGCGTGCCGTCCTTTCGGGAATCCACACAACCATATTCAACAAGCTCGTCCAATGTAATTTTATCTACAAAAGAAGACGAACGGAAAAATTCACATAGAAGAGAATACGATAGAAACGAAAGCGTTGACTTTTCAAGTCGAAGAGATCAACATAGAAATGACAGCAACGACCGGAAAAGTTCGCACAGAAGAGAATACGATAGAAACGAAAGCGTTGACTTTTCAAGTCGAAGAGATCAACATAGAAATGACGGCAACGACCGGAAAAGTTCGCACAGAAGAGAATACAATAGAAATGAGATTAGAGATTTTCCGAGGCGAAGTGAAAAAAGTAAAAACGACTCACGGAATTCTAATTCCTACTGGCGCAGCATGTAAACAAACGAAAGTAAATTAAAATCATTCGACGAGGATCTTGTTTTATACCACAAACGTTATCGAGAAAAAAACTTCAAAATCAGTTCAGTAATGGTGAGTAGCTTAAAAAGCCTGAAAGCACGTATTTAATTAAAAGCTTATAATTAAATTACATGTCATTATTCCCGTTCCAAATACAGTTCAATTAAAATAATCATTTCAGTTAACAATAATTCTCATAGAGGTGAAAAGTGCTAAAAAGTCTTACGTACAGGTTTGCTTATGTATGTATATCAGAAGACCTCACCGACCCCAATTCTGCTAAAAAAATGCATCCAAGGTCATAGGTCACAACCACAGATTCTTTTTGTAGACAGCTGTATGAGATGCAACCTTTTACCTATTTTCAAGATAATACTTACCGTTTAAAGGGCTGTTTCCAGCTGTCAAGAAAGCTTGCAAAAAAAACATGCTCTCATTTATACAGTGCCGGACAAAAGTATTGGCACAGAGAATTTTTCGCAATGCATGCAAATTTTTTTATTATAATTGCTTTTCACCAATTTATTATTAAGGTATAGTTCTTACTATAACAAAACACATAAACACATTGTTTCTTCCAGAAAATTAACAGCAAAAGCAGTGCTTTTTAAGCAACAGAAATAAGGACAAATATTTCTAGCGAAATTTCTTGAGAGCTGGATTCTAAGCTTACGAGAAAAATACAAGAAACTGATGTTTGTATGCTTTGACCTTGGATAATTTTTTTAGCAGACTTGGGATCTGTGGAGACGTTTTATATTTTATTTTAAATTATGTACCTAAGTATGGTACCCTTGTGAATTACTATTATTTTTAATTATCACTTTGGGCCTTTTATAATAATGTTGATAACATGTTTATGTAAACTAGTAATTATCCCCGAAAATCGGGGTGCTTCGTGGTCTAAAAAACCTGGATATTTCTTTATTCTAAAAACCGCATGCATTGCTTTTGGTAGCTAACTTTAACTTTGGTATTTTGACAAGATCATACTCTACACTAGGGATGCACAGCAGAGGTGCACGCAGTCGACGTCGCGGGCAAACTGCGCGCACGCGAGCGTGCTAGGCGAGGTGAAGTGAACTGTACGGAGATGGCATCGTATACATATTAACCACTACACACTTATTTCAAGTAAAAAGGCGTGTATGTATGTGTACTTTTGCGACAACTGAGCCAGTGTGGCATCAGGCCACCAGAAAAAGCCAATTTTTCCAAAACAAAAGCGCCAAGTTTTTATTATCGTGTTTAATAATTTTTTTGATTCAGTAAAAAGTGTATATACAAATCCATTTCCTCACGTTTTTATTAACTAATTAATTTCAATACATTTATAACAACGCAAAACATATTTAATTTACCTATTCCTCACATTTTATTCAGTAAATGAATTCCATCTTAATGTAGAATATTAGTGTATAGTGTATACATACATACATATGTACCTATGCATTCGGTGTGCTTAAATTAAAAAAGCATCACTAAATAAAAGCACCAAGCATTGAATTCCAATTATTTTGGCTTTTTGGTTTACCAAAAGCACTAAATTTAGTGCAAAATGCACGGACTTGGCAACAGTGAGCTGAGCACATCAATGCTCAAACAGTGATGCCAGACCAAGTATTGAGTAAATGCGCTATGTATATTTTTCTTTTAAAGCAAAACTTCTAATTGGCGAGGGTATTGATTTTTGGTTCTTACATAGAACACTGATAAGATTCACAAACTTATCCTAGGACTTAATTAAAATAATAAACATTATTTGTAGACGAATATATTTGTGTTCGTATGAAATAGTAGCTTATGTCGGGAGGCTTACTTTAGTAAAATGTACCATTTCCTATATTCTTTAAACCACAAGGAATTTTTTTATGAAACTTTATACGAATATTGACTTGCTAGCATCGCCATTAACATTACCGTCTTTTACGTTTATTTTCCAAGAGTTCTTCAACGACTCGGCGCCAGTGAGTGTTTCGCAATCGTACGCTGGGAATGGTTCATTATACTAAAGCCAGTCTTCCGACATAAGCTACTATTCTATACGAACACAGATATGTATACTTCCTAATAGGCTTGTAAAATGCCCAATACCCAAATCCCTCGCTTGAGTTATTATCGGTAAAAATTTGGGTACGCTCAAATCTGGCATCGCTGCAGCAAGTACAGCTCCAGTGAAACAGTGTTGATATTTTAAGTACAATTGTACTTTTTTCAGTACAATTAATTTTAAAATGTACAAAAGTATAATTTACCGATTTTAAGTACAATTTCAACATCAAAAATACTTTTTGTACCAAACGCTCAAATCTCTTCTATCACTTTGATTCTTAATCCGTTTACATTTAAGAAAATTGATATACCTATATTTCATAGCTGCTACAAAAGCAAATTATGAATTGTAATTTTGAATGTAAACGTGATTGTGAACAGTAATATTAGTGATGTGCGTTATGGTTATTGCGATTTCTTATCACCGGCGGGTGAAATATCCCTCATCGCTATTTATTTTGAAAAAATCTTTGGAAATGCAATTTACCTAATGGCGATCCTGCAGAAATAGAAGTAATTGAGCAATTCGGGGGTTGAAAGTAAAAAAATGTATGTAAATTCCATGCGTTGAAATTATAAATTTCCCTTGAGGATTTCCATTTTATCGATAGTGATCTCATTTTATGTTCATTAATATGAACTGACCTATATAGTGTATTAATGTTTTATCATCATTGTCTTCATCTTTGACAAAATTACACGGTCACCCGATATTTATTTTATTTTTCTAAATAATTTTAATTATTTTTTTTATAAAATTGTAGCTCATTATCAAACAAAAACCTTGCAAATAAATCGAAGCTTGAAAGAATGAAAAAAATCAACAGTTTCATAAAATTTTCACAGTTTTTGTTCAGAATTTGTAGACATGTTTTGGGTTAACAATTTTGTAGCCCATTCATTCTAGTATAATAAGGTGCAAGTTGGAAGTGTCTAGAAAATACCATTGATTTTTTGATTGTTTGATGTTTTGATTTGTTTGCGGTGTTGCGCACTTTCTTCCATATAACGAACGTTCGCATTTTATGTTATATGGATGAATGCGCGTGTAGCGTTGTTTTTTATTCCAATATTTTAAATTAAGCTTTATTTTATAGTTTTTCTTAGACAATGATAAATGATGTACACAAATTTCAGTATGGAAAAAGTGCAACACCTTCAACGAAAAAAGTTCTCAAAAATCTACGCGAATTGAATGTACTATCTCGATCATTTAAACATCTCGGACTCGCCCACCAGTAAAAATGATTATTTAAATCTAAAGTGTATATTAAATGATATTTAATATTTGCTTTAGAGATGAAATTTCGACAAATTTGTTTCAGCAAAAATGTTAAGCGCATATGCAGAATGTGGAAGCGAGATTCTTTTGCTTGCGTTTCTATGTTTATATCATTTATCAGTTTAAGCACATACGATTAAATGTAAAAAAAAAATATGTTTAATTGCGGATCCGAAAGAAATATTTATTAGTTGCATTGAGCTACGAAAAAATAGTGCCGAAAATCAATCGATTGTGCTGAAGGTGCCGGCTGCTTCCGAAAGGGCCGAAAATGGCACAATGTACACTCATTTTCCATCACTGTCACACATACAATCTCACTATTCTGTTGACTTACTTCGTTTTCCCCTTCCGATAACTTTTTGCTTCCGCGCTTGCCCCGCACCGCTGTGCAAAGCTTTGCATGCGCAGTCGCCCGCGACACATATGTGCTGATTTGGGCATCCCTACTCTACACTACGTACACCTAAATAACTGGCCATGCGTAAAGCAATCATCTTGCTAGGGTCTGACCTTGAGACTTATTTATTGTTATTGCGAACGCTACAGTAATTTGTATTGGCGACGTTTATATACAAAGGAAGTTTTGATTCGCTGGGCTGTTAATTTTTATGGGGTAGTAAAATTCGTTTCCCTTGTGAATCACATGTTTAAAGTCCATTAACTAACCCTTTATATGTACATTAAAGTGGTCCAAAAATGTATGTAAAAAAATAAGGTCGAATTTTTAATGCCGCCAGCCCCTAGGATTGTTCTATACCAAAAAAAAATTATACCCCTATTTTTTATTTTGAAAAAAAAAAAAAAATTTGGGTATGCTCAAAGCGCTCAAAGTTTTCAATGTATTTTATATGGGGAAAAAACAACTTTTCGTAGAAATAGTGTAGAATTCTTGAAAATCAATATTTTTCGATCGGAAAACTTTTCTTATCTTCAGGAGATTCCCGGTAATAACACCCAATTGTTCCTTTAACAATTTTTTCATGGTGACTATATTTTATGGGTCCTTGAAAATGCAATGGGGGGACCAATAAAAAATCTTTAATCATAAAAAATGGTTAAATAAACAATTGGATATCAATATTTGAAGTCTCCTGAAGAGAACCACAGTTTTACGATTGAAAAACATTGATTTTCTAGAGTTTTATGCCATTTTTACGAACATTTGTTTTTTTCCCATATAAAATACATGGAAAACTTTGAGCGCTGTGAGCACTCCCTAAATATTTTTTGATTTCAAAATAAAAAAATAGGGGTATACTTATTTTCGGTTCAGAACAATTCTAGGGGGTGGCGGCATTAAAATTCCGACTTTATTATTTTGGACCACTCTAATGTACATATTTGTATGGGTTGCCAGATTTTTTATGCGCGAAATCAGTACGTCAGACTTCTTCATGCTAAAAAATCAGTACTTTTCAGTACATTTTTATTCAAAGCAAAATTATGAATATAAGTAAATAAATAAAATATAGTTCATAACAAGTAAGTAAGTCTAGGTCCGGGCGGAGCCGAACATTAAATACCCGGCGCAAATATTAAATACAGTCAGTCAATAAAGTTTAGATCAGGGTTCGGATTTGCCTCATTTTAGCCCCTCGCTCGCTCGTTAGTTTGCTCTGAGCTAGCGCAACTCACGAGCAACACGCGAGGCTGTTTGCAAATGAGCACTCGTTAAGTACGAGCGCAGTAAGCAAACGAGGGCGGCGCAAAAGTAGAGCGGCAAGCAAACGAGGGC